TTTACCACCCTGTCATCAACTTCCATTAGTCACTTCTACATGCATTTGCTCATTTAATCCTCTCACCAATTTTTTTAGTACGTATCAAATCTGTAATGTAATAATAATCACAATAATATCAATATCAACTGCATTTATTGAGTGCTTTTCAGATGACAAGCACTGTGCTGAAAACATTGTAAGAGCTGCTCAAATTAATCCTCTTAGCAACCCTATGAGGTAAGCATTATCCCCCCATTTAAGAGATGAGAAAACAGAGTCACAGAGAGCTTAGGTAACTTGGCTCCAAGTCACATAGCTAATAGACTATGTGACTTTTCCAAGTCTAATAGACTAATAGACTTTTTCAGAGCAAAAGCTTGAAACCAGGTGTTCTGTGTTTAGAGTGGAGGGGGCTTGTTCCAGGTACAGTAGTAGAGGAACTCCCTGCTTTCATGTTGCCTCTTCTGCCTTTGGTACCTGCACTCTTGAGCACTAAGTCACTGCATCCTTCAAGGCATGGCTAAGACTCCTGGAAGTTGTGCTCCCATCCTTATGGCAGGGCATGCTCTCCTGCTGCCTACCCTCTCTCTTCAACTCTCAGGAAAGAAATCCTGTTTGCCATTTATGGATTTAAATCTATGGGCCGGGTACGGTGGCTCACACCTGTAATCCCAGCACTTTGGGAGGCTGAACTGGGCAGATCACCTGAGGTCAGGAGTTTGAGACCAGCCTGGTCAACATGGTGAAACCCCAGCTCTACTAAAAATACAAAACTTAGCCAGGCATAGTGGTGCACTCCTGTAATTCCAGCTACTTAGGAGGTTGAGGCAGGAGAATCACTTGAACCCAGGAGATGGAGGTTGCGGTGAGCCGAGATCACACCCCTGCACTCCAGCCTAGGTGACAGAATGAGACTCTGTCTCAAAAAAAAAAAAAAAAAAAAAAAAAATCTTTGGAGAATTTGTCTTCCAGGGACCCTTTCCTCTCATTGGAAAAATCTCAGTTCAGACTCACTGCTATTTTGGTTACAGATGCAACATTTATCCCCCTTTTAAAGGTGATGACATTAGATTGAAAAGATGCTTTGGGGATATGGGGTTGTGCTGAAAACTCATATTGGTCTCACCTCTGGATAAACCCCCAAGTTTTTTTCACATTCAGTAGTGTTTAGCCAAGTCTCCCAATCTTATTTTTGTCAGGTGGTAATGAAGACCTGGGGGAGGGAATTTCCACTCTTGGCTGTATTATATTTCATCCTGTAGGATCTGGTCCATTACTCAAGGCTGTTGAAATCTTTTTGGATTCCAACTCGGTCATCTGACATATTTTTATCTTTCTTAACTGGGTGTCATCTGAACATCTGATGAGCATGTAGCCTTTATTTTCACCCAAGTCATTGATAAAAATGTTGAATAGGAAAGAGCAAGGGGACTGAATACTCTAAATGCTGTTAGAAAACCCTCTATGTCAGTGTCAATTTATTAATTACTACTCTTGAGTCTGGCATTCTGCTCACTATTGAATCCTTCTAATTATAGAGGCCCGTACTTGTTTCTCTGTCTTATTCATAAGATACCAGAGTCTTGTGTCTGAGATGATGGGATAAGAGGGCAGGTGTGCGGCAAAGGATAAATCTTGCCTAGAGGAAGGTTTGTTCCTTGTCTAGCTCCTGGGAGCTAATCTCTAAATCCTTGGAATGTCCTGCCTCATGAGTGTCTTTGTTTACCTGGGGGCCCTGGGCAACAAAGTCTAAGTTTGACCTCTGGCAGGGATAGAACTAAGGCCTTTCATGTCTACATGATCAACTCCCAATAAAACCCTGGACACCAAGGCTTCAGTGAGCTTCCATGGTTGGCAATACCCTGTGTGTGATGCACACATTGTTGCTCGGAGTGCTGGCTGCATAACTCTACAGGGGAAGGAAAACTGGAAGCTCATGTATGGTCTCTCCTGGACTCTGCTCTATGTGCCTCTGTCCTTTTGCTTATATGGATCTGTATCATTTCACTGTAATAATCTATAACCATGAGTACAGTGGTTTTTCTGAGTTCTGGGAGTCCTAGCAAATCACTAAACTGGAAGGTGGTCTGGGGGAATGCCTGAATTGCAACAGGAATCTCTGGATTACATTAAATGTATCTTTCTTTAAAGCCAGAGGTCTAAGATCTCCCTGAACTTCTGCTTGAACCTTCTCTCTAGCTTCCCTAAACCCCTTATTTTTTCTTCAGAAGATACTATGTAAAACGAGTAGGAAGTCCTCTCTCTGCTTCACAAAGAAGCCTCCTCCCCCATGGCCTGTCCTAGGCACCGACCAACCCCTCTTGCCTGTCCCATGTGGTTTAAGGAGTACTCACTCCAGTCTACCCTGGGTAGGATACTGTATTGCCCAGGCAGACTCCACACTCGCCTGCCTTTCAGGAAAGTCCCTGCTAAAATCCACATGTTAACTAGGGAAGAGCATAATTCCCTGCTGTCACCCATTTATACTTTAGCCTGTCACCCATTTATGACATTAGACTGAAAAGATGCTTTGGGGATATGGGGTTGTGCTGAAAACTCATATTGGTCTCACCTCTGGATAAACCCCCAAGTTTTTTTCACATTCAGTAGTGTTTAGCCAAGCCTCCCAACCTTATTTTTGTCAGGTGGTAGTGAAGACCTGGGGGAGGGAATTTCCACTCTTGGCTCCATTATATTTCATCCTGTAGGATCTGGTCCATTACTCAAGGCTAAAGTAATCAGTCCACTAACAGAATGGGCTGTCATTAAGATAGAATTCGGGAGGGGGGAGTTCAGGTGGGGGCACCTCTGAGGCTTTCCCTAACTGTGAGAGTGAAGAGGGTTCTGCTAGGCAGGGAAACAGAGCTGCTGTGGTCTCCACAGGGCTCTGTTGAGGCACAAGGGAGGAGCGTGCTGAAGGTGTGGTGGAGGGCTGACAATAAGCTGGCCTGCATCCTAGTTTTGTCAGAAAAATTAGAGGGTGAAAACCAGCACTTTGTTCCTTATCTGGCATCCATGTGTATCCACATGGCCAAATGGGCAGTAACTTTCCAGAGGACGGAGGGGAGAGCAGCCAAGCTGGGCATGGGAAGCAGATGTGTCACCAGAGAGAGAGGGAGCTCACTCCTTACCTTATCTCACAAGGGGTTTACTGGAAACCAGGTTCCTGGCACTGCGGGGGGAAAGGTGTCATTAAGTAGAAGAGAGCAATCCCTTTACATATAGGGTTTTAATCTCACCTCCGCCCTATGCAATTCCAGGAAGCTGAACCAAGACACTCTTCAAAATGGAGACAATTTTTCTTCAATTCTAACATCAGGCAGTGTGCCTGCAAAATCTTTAGTTCTTTCCTCTGAGGTCATTTTTATGACTTCTCACTACTTTTTATCTTTATGTTTTTTAGGTCTACGTTGGGAAAATGGTTTTGTTTTTTTCTTCCATCTCTTTTCTTTATCCTCTAGTTGACAACCATGAAATCATCTCCCCTTAAGACAGTCACATGAGACAGTTCTGTCTTCCCTTCACCCTGGGCCTTAGGGGATCAGAGAGCACATGCCCTGAAAAGCATCACCCTCCTGTAGAAATCCATGGGGAACCTTTAATTTTACCCTCCTGGCACCAGATGTAGAGAAAGGTGGATGGGGGTAGACGGGGTCAACCCCCACCCCGCAAGCTTCATAAATGTGAGCGCTTATAGTCATTTCCCAAGATGGGAGGCCTTCATATTTAAAGCCATTAAGTGGAAATTTCTTGAGGGCAGGACCTACATGAATTTGCCCTTGAATTGAGGGTTTGGCCAGGCCTGACCTCTGACTCTGGGACTTCAGAACACTTAGGCCAAGCAGGATCTGGAAATGCAAACTTTCCTCAGTCACCCCAATGTGCTTGGTGTCTGCCTGATGAATGCTTTTGATGCTCACAGAATCTCCCTAAACTCTGCATGGGGGTGTTGGCTGGGAGCTCACTCCCCCAGTGACTGAGGCTCTTCTGTAATACCTGGCTGTGCTCTCAGTCAGAATCTCCACTGAGCTCAGCTGTCCAATTTCACACAAGAAAGCATGCTTTCAACACAGCAGAGTTGTGCTTTGAGCTTGCTGGGTACTAGTTTATCGGGTCAAACATTGTCAGAATTGTTGATCACGCAGGCAATGTAATCAATATAGGTGAAACTGGAGATTTCCAAACTTTCATCCTTTGGTCATTTTGTTAACCAGCTCTAAATCCCCCAGGGATCTGGTTTAAATGCAGCTTCAGACACAGTAGCTCTGGGGAGGGGCCTCACAAGCTTCCAGGTGACTCCCCAGCACCATACTTTGAGAAGCCAGCATTGAAGGGTATTGATATAGGGAGGAGGAGAAGCTAGTCACTAAAACTCTACTCACACATCCCCAGCAGAAAACACAGAAAGGGATCATGGATTCTACACTGGTCTGAAGGAAACTCACCCCAGGTGTCTGCTGTCCCTGAGGCTGAGGACAGGGCTCTCAGCCCTCCATTACTTTGACTGAAGTGTTTGCAGCAGCAAGAGGCAGGATGGTGCACTGGGTAGTGCTTGTGCTCTGGTGCCAGCTTGCCTGTTTGAGGCCTGGCATGCAATCCTAAGCTCTGTGTTCTTGTGGCCTAATAGTTCAGTGCCTCAGTTTTCTTGCTTGTAAAACAGGGGTAGTCATAATAGTATCCACCTCTATAAGGTTACTGTAAAAATTAAAAGATTATGTAAGGGACGTGATCCATAAAAAATGTCCAGAATAGTTATTTTCCTTTTCAGCCAGAGCTCCTGTGTCTAAGCCTGGGACCTCAGGGGGCCCTGGGCTTCTGTGGCCTGAACTGCCACAGTTGTGCAAGCACTCTTGGGTCTCCTGTTACCCGGGAGCCGGCAACAGACCAAAATAAAGAGGTGGGGTGGGGTAGCGGGGCGGGCTGAGCGAGCCTCTAGAGGGAGTCTGACCAGGTCAGCTGGGAATGCCTGTCAGCCATCCAGGGTGGCTTCTCCTGCGCTCTGCTCCTGCATGGGCCTGGAGGTGGGTGAGTGACTCATGCTGGTGCCCTCCCCACCCCTGCACCCAAATGCTCAGCCCTCCCCACAGCCGGGGCTCACCTAATCCCCACAGTGGGAGTCAGGGGGTATTCACGCCTGTGCCGAGGTCTAGGGTTGCACCGCACTGACTTCACACTCAGCAGCATGTGCAGCTGAGGCCTCCGTGCAGCCGTCTCCTGCGAGGCGGGCAGCGAGGTCAGCTTGGCAGCCGCCACCTCACCAGCCTGGATCTGGCCGCAGGCAGCGGTTCCCTAGGACCCGAGGAAAGGATGGCCGAACAAGAAGCTAGTGGGCTACAGGTCCTGCTGCACACACTTCAGGTAGGAAAGGGTAGTGTGGGTGCAGAATCTGGCAGGCTGGGTCTTTGCCTGGGCTGGCCTGCTTGGGAGCTCTGCACACAGTCCTCTCTGGTAATCACTGGCCCGGTTTGCTAACAGCAACAGAACAGGAGTCGGCTCTCACCTTGAAGCTGACCTAAGTGATGCTGTGGAGTTCAAATATTAAACACGACGATGTTGATGATTGTTCTGCTTAAATTATTGATCCTGGTGGGGTCAGAGGCTCTGGGTAAAAGATCCAAGTTTGCTAGAAATGGGAAAGGTGGAGAAAAAGCCTGTTTGGCAAATGAAGGAGACCTGTTGAAGCTCTTCCTGAACAAGGCTGGAGACCTGCTGAGAGCATGCAGAGCTGTCTGGGAGGACAGGGTGGATGAGGAGAGGACCCTTCTGGGCTTCTCCTGCTAAATGGCTGTCTTCCTGGGCTCCCAAATTGTAGTTACATCAGAATGGCCTGAGATGCTGACTATCAGTGCATTTTCCCAGGCAGGATCTGAATAGCAGGTGTTTGAATCATGTAGGGCAGTAGCCTGGGAAACTGCCTTCTCCCTGGGGTATGCTATTCATTCCTAATTTTCAGAATTCTTGTTCTAGAGCAGTGGTTTGCAAACTTGTCTGCATGTTAGAATCACCTGGAGAGGGTCAAAAAATACTTATGCTTGGGACCCACCCCCAAAGATATGGATTTAACTGGTCTTGGGATCAATCTGAGCATTAGAGTTTGAAAACTCCCCGGGGGTCTCCATGTAGATTTAAGGCTGAGAACCACTACTCTCTATGCTTGTGATTAGCTGGATTCAGAGGATGCCAGCATTGAAAAAGGCCCAAGGGGTCTTCTACCCCAGGAGTTTAAGCCCGAAGTTCATGGAAAGGGTCGCAAGATGATGGGCTTGCGGGGGTCCATGACCCCATGCCCCTGTTTAGAATATAAACATTTTGTACGTATTTTCCTTTTTCCCTGTTGGGAAAAATGTTCCTAATTTTCCTCTGATTCTTTTTGTTTGTTTTGTCTTTTTTGAGACAGCGTCTCACTCTGTCACCCAGGCTGGAGTGCAATGGTGCGATCTCGACTCACTGCAACCTTTGCCTCCCGGGTTCAAGCAATTCTCCTGCCTCTGCCTCCCAAGTAGCTGGGATTATAGGCTCCCACCACCACGCCTGGCTAATGTTTTGTATTTTTAGTAGAGATGGGGTTTCGCCATGTTAGCCAGACTGGTCTCGAACTCCTGACCTCAGGTAATCCTTCCACCTCGGCCTCCCAAAATTCTGGGATTACAGGCGTGAGCCACCATACCTGGCCATTTTTCTCTGAATCTTAATAAGATTTGTATTCCTGAAAGTTTAAGAACCAATAAATCCAACCTTCAGGTGTGCAGATAAGGAAACGGAATCTCAGAAGTGAAATAGGCTCCTTGATGTCATATGGTTACTTAGTAGGGGAACTGGGACTTCGATATTCAGTTGACTTGGCGTCCTTTTCATTCTATCTGATTCGTGCAAGGTGAAATGTATCTGGCCAGGGGTGTTGGAGGTGGGAGTGGACCTCAAATTTGCAAAATAAATCCAAGGATTTATTTGTATCTGGCTAGATTTATTTGATTTAATAACCAGGTACAATAAGCTGACATTCTGAGAGCCCTTCTAATTTCTGAATAGTTATATGGAGATCTTGATTAACTGTGATTCTAACAACTGAAAATGTCTCATGGACAGAATTTTCCTTGTACTAGCTGTCTAGGAAAGAGGGAAAATAATAAGTTGGTAATAGGGGTTCAGTAAAAATGAATGTCCTGTAGTTGGCCTCAAAGTCACTTCAGGTTGAACTCAATTGCCTGTATTCCCACCAGTGAGAATTGATAATTGATGTTTAGCATGATCACCCCCGGGCACTGCAAGATTCTCAATTATCAAAGAAAGATTTAATTATGTTCACTAGACTCTACTTAGTTCCCAAATAAGCAGAACATTATGATAACAGGAGCATGCTTCCTGTATACACCTCAGTTGATCAGAGTTTGGTTTAGAATTGACCTGGGTTCCTGGCCTGGCCCACACCGAGTGCTTCCATGAGCCCTGTTTCTGTCTCTACGGTAGAAGTCAGAACTCTGAAACACTTTTTAAAAAAGAGAACCTAGAACATATATTCTGTGGAATAATCTTTCATGATGGATTTGATGTCCTGTCCCCATTCTTCTCCCCATGGACTTGAACTAGGCGAGCCCACATTGTTTCCAAGAAAGGGTTAACTGAACCTGTCTCGCTTGGGGATCCCAAAGATCTTACCAATTCAAACCAGTCTGTCTCTCCTTGTGCACAAGGTGACAGACGGAAGGCTTTGACTTGCTTCTTAAATCTTTGGGAAAACCAGTGAATAGGTTAGGACCAAATGTCAGCTTAGGTCTCAGTTCCCATGTCTTTTAGGAGTACCCCAAAAGGTTGCCAAGGGAAGGAAGAAAGAGATCAGAGGGACAGAAAAGGCAAACACAAGCATAACAGAATATCCCCATGCTATGTTTGTGGAAGTCTACCTACTTGAGCATATCACCATTTCTGACTCTTTAGGGGCATAAAACAGGCCACAAAGAAACATCAGTTTTCTGTGTTAACCTGTTCCTGCACACATGAGGAAGGGGTAAGTGGTTTTCCTTACCACAATTTAAAAACAGCTTCTTTATCTCGGTCCTGAAGGTCTGAGAATCAGATTTCTACCCAGACATGTTCCAACTTCCTGGCCTTTACAGTGTGGATGTGAGGCAGAAAATCAGACTGACTGATGTGGGTCTGGGTGAAGCGGGAGGCAGGCAGCCCACAGCACAGGTGCGAGAGGCAGAGAAAGGACTGGATCCAATCCCTTTCCTGGCACTTACTAGCCTGTTCATCCTCATGAAAGTTCCTCGACCTCTCTGAGCCTCCATTTATGTAATCTGTAAAAGAAGGGCCATAAAAATAAGTTCCTCAGCACTTTCTGTGAGGAGTAAGAGAATACATTTGAAAAGCGCTTGTGAACTCTAAACGGCTGTTTGAATGACTGTGGTTTTATGATTTCCCTAGTTGAGTATGCAGTGGAGAGACTGGGAACACTTGCCTACACTTTTCATCAACCTGCCTTGCTTTTTTCCTGGGTGGACTCCAATATACTTGGGAAAAAAAAAGAGGTGTCTCATTTGTCCTGCTCTCGTCTCTCCATGTGGTTCGAGCTAATGGAGAAGATGGGGAACTGCCAGGGTTGCAGGATGTGGGCTCCTTGCCAGCTCTGATGCCACAGGCTCTCACCCAGCAGGGTCCCACAAAATGCCAGTTAAGTACCTTTATTGAAACATGAAAAATGTAAAATTATTCGGTCAGCTTTGGCACATTCTGCGCTGTGATATGGGCACATTTTTACCATTTCCATTTGTACTTTATTATTTTATGTGATAGCTGCTAGATCAAACCCTGGTCTGCATCTTTGCCAAAATGTGCATAGTTAACTTCTTTTCTCAACTTGGGATCCAAGAACATCTATTATGGATTATGAATGAGGCTGCAGGATGTGGGGCTTCCTGTCTCGAGTAAGCCATGGAACTTAGATAACCTCAGCTGGGGTTACCAGTCCGCTTTTCCCCCTTGAACTTAATCCGCCAGGGATTATTTCCAAGATAACAGGTGATTTTTAGCTTCTGGGCTACAAATAGAAGAAGGGTAGAAAAATGACAACTGATAGGTTTCATTCATAGCACTTGGGAGTTTTGCTTCCAAAATATGTGTTTGAAATTTTCCCTTGTAGAACTCTCCATAGAGGACATGGGAACATCCATCTATTGTATCCATTGGGGCAGGTGGAACGGAAGCTGAGCTTTTTCCTTGGAGTTAAACAGAAGGATTTGGACAATCAAGGGTAGAATTTTCTTTTAGATAGCAAACACTGTGTAGACTTTCCAAGGTTCCCTAGGAAGTTTGAGGCTTTCTGGGTTTGTTGGAGATGCCTGCTTCAACCACAACTCAAACATAGAAACAAACTGAAAACTGTCTTAATTTCAAGCATTATTAGAAACAAAGAAAGAGGAAGCCCTATGAGGATAAGGGCCAAATGGACAAGAAACAAAACTGGCAAGAAATTACATCTGTCTGCCTAAGGAATGGCTTCGTGACAATCAACCTGGGTAGGGAAGGGATGATGACGGTGTGTAGGCGTATGCTGAGCTTTAGGTGGGGAGAAGCCTTTATTTGGTGTTTTGTTTTTCAAGACCTTATTACTTTCACAGCTTCTTACATTTCTTGGAATTAGAGATTGGAGAAAATGAACAATTATTAAAGGTCCACTTGTGCCAGGCTTTTACCTCCACTACCTAACTTTCGTCTCTCTGCCACCTGTGAGGAAGATGTGGTTGTTCTCCTGTCTTATAGATGAGGATACTGATGGTTAAGGAAAGGATAAGCTGCTCAAGGCTTAAGGACAGAAACTTAGTAAATCCTGAGATAAGAGATGTGAGGCAAGTTTTGTTCCCCTACAGCCTTTTCACTGGTTTGCGTTGCTTAAGCAACCTACGGAATATTCACTTATTCTTTATTTTGAGGGTATTACCTTCATCTGACTAAATCTGAAGGCTGGGGGGAAATGAATTTTCTACAATTCAGGAAGGCCTATTTAGAACTGATATCATCTTCCACATCCTAATTTGTCATGTGGGTAAGGAACTCCTGATGAAGGAAGGTAATATTTTGGATTTGGGTCAATAGGATGTTTTCAATATCCATCTATTCATCCATGTATTCACTCATCTACCCATTCATTTTATCCATCCATCCATCCATCCATCCATCCATCCATCCATCCATCCATCCAACTAGCCATAGCTTTCTATGTGCTAGAAGAGATGTGTAAAAATGAGAATTATAACACCTACTTAGAGACTTTTTATTAGTTTAGAGAAAATTTATGAGAAGAAGTAAGCATATTGGTACATGCCCAATAAGTAGGAGCACTTACTGTAATGAAATACAGT